TAGAGAGGTACTTTCAACATCCATTTGCTGAAACGCTGTACTTTAAATTATAAGATTACAAAGATATCTCTAAGAAACACATGACAAGAGCGGAATTTCCAGTTTAAGAACTCGGATATGTAGTTTGTGAAGAACTCTTTCACGTCGCTCTTTGCATATGCCGTTCCTAGGGCAGGCTGTTCCTCCACCTGGGTTGCTGTTCCCTTGCTCTCCAGCCCTAGATGACTCCGACTTGTCTGTCTTGTTCCATATTAACATCACTTCTTCCCGGAAGCCTCCCCAGCACCTCCTCACTCTGTCTGGTTGGGTTGCTCCCTACATGCTTTCAATTCCCCTCACAGCACATGACAATCGCCTGTTCGTGCGCCTTCCTTCCACACCAAAACCTCAGTGCTGTGAGGACACAGGCAGTACCACCTTCACTCACTGTCTCACCTCCTGGCAGGGCCTGGCACCTGCCCAATACTCAGGTAGTATTTGTTGAGTGAATTAATGAACATCTTGGAAGCCAAAGACCCAGTTTGCTTCCCCGCCCCACCCTTTCTCCTGCCGGCCTTTACACTTGACCGTGGACTTCACAGTGCTGGCTACAACTTACCTAAGGCTGCGCAGAGCAGAAGAGAGAAGGGAACAGATCTTGGTTTTACCCCCCAGCCCTGCTCCAGCCCATCTTAAATCGCCATTCCAAGCACAGCCATGCCGTCAGACAGACGTGGGTCCCACTAAGTGACTTTGATCAACTTCGTTTACTTATCAGTAAAATGCAGACAAATCTCCTACATGAGAGGATCTGAGGCTTGCATTGCCCAAACTCTTCCAAACACACGGGGCTCAGTGACTCTGACTCCCATCCTTTCTTCCCCTGGGAAGCACGATGCTCCTCCTTTCTGCTCCTGAGGACATATTTCTCTTGTATTGGGCAATTGAGATCACCCCTTTCTACCACGAGGGAGGGAGAGAGGCCGGCACCTCAACAATCTAATTGGAGTTGGTCCCTCTCTTGAACCGCAGGCCACCTTTAAAAGGAAGTCAAACGCCTCTTGACCCAGGAATGCCGAGGTTCTGTAAAGAGCAGCGTCAAAGCCACGTTGATTCCAGGAATATGGCTTTTCATTTGAGACTCGGCTGAGCCATCTCCAGCAGAAAGCATTGTTCCTCTGCCCACTTCTATGGCAGCAGTAAGAACATTGCCTGCCACACCTGGGATGTGCACGTACCCACACCCACACCCACACGGTAGACAGACTGAACTGGAGTCTGAGGACCACCCGTCCCTCCTCAGAGTGGCACGCCTGGGCAGAGGGAAGCCTTCTTCAGCACCTCAGCACCCAGCAAAGCCTGAGGTGCAGTGGGGATGGGTCCTCACGGCAGAAGGGGAGAGCTGGGAAAGGGGTCGAGGTCAGGACTCAGGGAAGAGACAGGGCACTGGGGAGACAGGGCCTGGATGTACAGGGACAGTGTTCATGGCCAAGTTCTGCAAGGTGCTTCCCAGCACTGCCAGGTAAAGTACAAGCACCTGTGCTTCCTCTACCAGAACTGCTCCATGAGAACCAAAGAACTGTGACCTCCTCCACGGAGCAGAGCATGTATCTGATCCAGAGAAGGCCGGGAAGGCCAGAGAGGTTCGGAGAGGGAACGGGAGTGATTCCTTGCATCCCCGCAAACACCGGGGCTCCTGGCAGTCACCACTGGGTTAGTGGGGACAAGATGACTTCCCAGACAAATGTAACGTCATGACCTCTGTTTTATCCCCACCCCAGGACAGCAAAATGCCCCCAACAGGCAGGAAATGCGGGGCCGCCCCAGCTGCATGAGACTCTCCTCATGCTGTGTTGTTACTCCCTGGATAGGAGGGGTCCTTAATTATTCATCCTGGCACTGCTGGAACCTGATGAAGGTACCACAAAGCAAGTTCTTGAAGTACCAATATTTACTGAATGAATATTTTATGAATGAATAAAAAATGTGTGAGTTACGAGCATTGAGAAATGAGAATTTAAGTAAAAAGCTTAACAACGAAGAAGCCTGAAGCACACAACTAAATTGTGATTATTTACGAATGCAATCATTAACATCATTCACCCTTCCATTGCCAAGAATGATTCAAGCTTAGAACAAAGCTTGGCAGTTTATAATTTTTTAAAAATAGGTTTTGTACTTGTGTCACAAGAAGACTAGATTTATGTCTAGGTAGGCTAGACATAAATGTAGATGTAGGCTCTACGCCTCTAGATGTAGGCTCTCGGGCTATATCAAAACATCTAGACAAGACAGACAAGGCAGAGAGTAGACAGTTTCCTTCACAGTTTGGACAACAGCACTGGGCCCAGGCAGCTTCCAGTTAAGCTGCTGACTTAGACCCCAAGGATGCATCAGCACCCTAGGAAAGAGCCTGTCCTTATGCCCAGGAGCCAGACACATTCACCTGCAGCTGCCACAGCCTCTATGCAGGAGGAGCATATGACCCCCACACACATACCAACACCCACACGGTGAGTCCTCTGCAGGGGACTAGAGCACTGAGATCTCAGGAGGGAGTGTTTTCTTCCCCTCAGAGGAAGGCCATAAATGCTCCCCAAGCCACTGGACTCCTAGCTTCCACCTATCAGTCCAAAAGAGTCCTGCAATGGGGCTACAGGGCCCGACTTTGCATCCATATGTCATTAACAACAATCATATTACATAGCAATACTCTGGAAGCAACCTCACAGTGGATTACCATGGAAATGCATAAAGTGGTGTATTCATGCAACAAAATATAAATAGCAGCCAAAATGAAAGAACCAGATTTATGTTTAGCTCCAAAGCATACTGCTGATTTAAAGTTAATAAAAAGACATATATGATATGGAAACACTTACGTTGTTAAAAAAAAACTCTCAAAATAATGTCTGGCTGTGGCTATAAGTAAATACAATAAAAGTAGTAAAACATGGTGTGAATAATGCCATTGCCTCCAAGACACAGACTCTCCCTGAGGAGGAAGGGAAGAGAAAGCAAGCTGGGCAGGAGTTGGATAAGGGAGTAGGGCTTAGCTCTCTTTTCATTTGCGTATTTTTTCTAACACTTTCTCATGAAAATTTTCAAATATAAAGTTGAAAGAATTTTTCACCCTACAGGCCCATTGGTAGATTCCATTAACGTTTTACTCTATTTGCCTTATCACTTAGTCTATCCATCTTTCCATCCTCTACCCATCCATGCGTCTTGTTTTTTCAGGCCTCCTAAAGACTATTGCAGATACCATGCACTCCCCCACATCCTTCAGTGTGCATATCATTAGTTAGAGTTCAACATTTGATTATAGTTTCTCTTTTGACGTAAAACTTACAGTGAAACGCACAAATCTTAAGTACCCATTTGCTGAATTTTAACAAATGCAAACACCTGTGTAACCGATGCCCAAATATCACATTATACAACGCAACTATCACCTAGAAAATCCCCTTGTGCCCTTCCCTGGTCAAAGCCCACCCCAACCTCTCCAGAGGCAACCAATGTTCTGCTTTTTCCATCACAGCCTAGTTTTGCCCATTATGGAATTTCAGACAAATGGAATCACACAGCACATGCTCTTCTGGGTAAGGCTCCCTTCACTCAGCATGAAGTTCCTGAGATTCGCTCATGTTGGTGTGTGTATCGGGAACTTGTTAGTTTCTGTTACAGAGTACTATTCCATTTGTAGGAAAATGCTACCATTTGTTGATCCATTCTCCTATGATGGACACCTGGGCTTTTTCTGATTTTTGGCCAGGAACATTCTCACATAGGTCTTTTTGTGAGCACACATTTAAATTTTTCTTGAATACATAACCAGAGTTGGAATTGCTGGACGAAGAGTAGGTATATGTTTAGTTTTATAAGAAACTCCCAGACCTTCTTCAAAAGTGGTTGCACTATTTTATATTCCCACCAAAGCATGAGAGTTCCTCACGGAGATTCAGTGTTGCCTGTGTTTTATTTTAATCACTCTAATGGATATGTAGTGGTAACACATTGTGGTTTAAATTTGCATTTCCCCCACTGATTAATGACGTTAATCCTAACTATTTTTTTTAACATTTTATTTCCTTAAAATAAAAGAGACAGAGAAAGACAAAGACAGACAGGGAGAGACAGGGAGAGAGAGAGAGAGATCTGGAGCAAATATAGCAAAATGCTTAAATCTGTGACACGGGTATGCTTGTTTCTAAATTATTTCCTACATGTTTGAAGTATTTTACAATTAAAAATAAAAATCATATTTTATCTGTATCTTATTCCATCTATAAGGGTATGCCCCTGACATCCAAGCTGGGCTTGGAGGCACAGCTTCTGGTCCAGGGAAAGGCCCAGCAGGGAGTGGGCTGGGGCCTGGGGAAGGGGCCCTGCCACAGCAGAAGAGCATCTTCCCTAATTCACCGAGCTCTACCTGCCTTGGGACATGCCCTAGTGGTCCTGGCTTTGCTCCTGGTCAGCTCTTAATTCTGACTTAGCTCCTGCTGGACGAGGCCACATCCCATAGCGGACCCTGTGCCAGGGCTTGGTGGTGCCACCTCTCTTTGCCCTCCAGGGACTGGGATTGGGTGACGCTGCACCTCTCCCAAAGGTCTAAGGTTGGCCTGGCTTTTTGTGGCATTAATTCCTCCAAGGAATCTCCTATTGGTATTGATATACAGACCCCAAATAAACACCCAGTATGCCCAGATCCAGCTTTCTTAAGAATTTAAAAGTGAAGGTCTTGCCCAGATGTCTCAGCATCCTCAGGTGTGGTGTCTGAAAGCACACGCCACTGCTTGCTTAGACGGACACCATTCGGTTTTACCCTGACTCTTTACCCTTGGCTCTAATTTGAAACCACTTCAGATTCTTTCACCAAACTTGGATAATGACTATGATGTCTCTGCCAGGGCGACGAGACTGCCCATCCTCTGAGGTCTGAGGGTGGATTATTTCAGCACCTCCCCAGTGGGGTGATGAAAGCAGGGAGAGGAAGCAGGTGGGGGCATAGGGACACTCACCGCTGGCACTCGCCGGCGTGCAGGATGAGCTCTTCATTGTTCCGGGCGCTGACTGTCAGCTCGTGCTCCATGGAGTTGAAGACATCCAGGAGCAGGTGGCACTGCCGGGTACTGCGTTGAAAAGACAAAGGGAAGTTCAGAATCTTTTGACAAGCCAAAGAGGAGAGTGACTTTGCCTTTTTCTCCTCCCCAAAGATTTTCCAGTATTTGAGGATGTCAGAAGTAGGATTTATCAACATGTCAAGTTCCCCTGAACATAAAGGATTACTGAGACTCATTCTGAACAAAACTGTAAACTCTAAAAAGTGAGTTTGGACATTGAGGTCCTCCTTGGTCCTGGGGACACATGCTTACAACCCAGCTGTGCCCTTTACAAACCAAGTGACCTTGGGAAGGTAATTCGAGTTCTCCAAGCCTCATGTATGTGAGGACTAGAATACTTGACCCATAAGTCAGATAAACAGTGGGGAGGCCCTTGGCAAACAGTCATTCAATAAATGCTATGTCCGAGTCACCATCCCAGCAGCAAGTGTTCTACAGGTACCAGGCAAGGTGCCAGGCACTGGCCAATGGAGAGCCGTGTCAGAGTCATTTGTGCACACAGCTACCGCGAGTTCTTGTAGAGACTACACCTCACTCCTCTGGAAGACATTGTAGGTTTACTCACTCACCACCCATTTGAAACCTCCACCCCTTTGTTTTCTCTACTATAGACGGTAAAAAGTAAAGTACTCAAGTTCCCATCACCTCTGCTCCAACACGGTCCATGGAACAAAGTTCTAGCCAATAAGAATAGGCTTCTGGAGACTTTCCATCCCAAATAAGAAGACAAGGCCTTGAGAGGAGAAGGCGTTCACCCTTCAGCCTCTCTTTCGACCTTTCCTTCCTCCCTAGAGATGAGTCCGATGCCAAGAACCTCAGCAACTCTTTGGGGGTGATGAGGACAAATGCTGCAGACTGCGGCTGGCAGAGGGGCGGCCAGGAGGGGTCTAGGAAACGACGACACCTTCAGCAGCTGAAGCAGCCCCACACTGCCTGCTGTCCACTAGACTCATCAGCTACATGCACAAAACAAAAAGCCAACAGCACACGCTTCATTTGTGCTAGTCACCATTTGTTAGGTTTCCAGTACAGCTGAATGTTTGCCTAAAACTAACACAGTATCCCAAATATCACAAGTATCACAGCTGGAGCATGGCAGTAATCTATAAGTGTTTGCTGATCTAAACAGGACAGTTGTACCCATGACAGAAGCAGACACAGAGGGCAGCAACAGAGGCAGAAGCCACTCTTCTTGGAGGAGCAGGGTAAGTAGTTTTTCACACACACACACACAAAAAGACTCAGAAAAGGATTTGTGTTCTGGGTCATTTTCAGTTTAGCGTGACTTCAAAACAGGAGCCGCCAAAGGGCACCTGAATTCTCACACATGTTTCTCGAAGTGTGACGACGCAGGGCTTTGCTGGTTGTTAAGGAAAGGGGACGAGGACTCACACCCCCGTGCCCGGGCCGCCTGCACTTTGTCGTTTCATCACAATAGCGCTAGGAGGTGGGCCTCCCTAGACCCATTTACAGGTGAAGAAAGTGAGGCTCAGTAGATGACGAAAAATGCTGGCAAGATGACAGACTCAAGACTCAGAACTCAAAATCCCGTCATTTTCACAGGAAATGATGGCACATATTCCAAATCCAAACCCCGTCCCCTGTTCTTTCCAGAGACATGAACTGAGGAGGAGAGGGGTGCAGTAACTTGGCCAGGGGTTCACACATGCAAAAATCAGACACCATCAAAAGGCCACGGGGCGTCTGTGCAACATCAATTTTTCAAAATGTGTACGTGTAACCTATTGACAAGGGAGGAAGGTAGAGCAGCAGCTTTGCTGTTCCTGCTGCAGGCGGCTCTTGGATGCTGCACGACACACGTCTGCAGAAGAGCAGGTTCACATTGGTCGATTCTGGGTTCTCCGGGTGGGGATGTCTTCCCCCGAGGCTCAGCACTTGGAAAATATTCATTAGCTCTGACAGCTGCCTGCAAGAGCCCTCTTCACTCAGCTCACAGAGAAATGAGCTTTCAAGAATGAAGGTCTATTCCGCCTTTGTCATAACTTCATGAAACCTCTAATCACAGCAAAATCTTTCATCAGGAAAGGGAATTTGTAAAACATTTATCAGAAGAGGAAAATTGAAGTGATTTTTTAAAGCAGGGAAGAAAAGGTTCAAATATATGTTGTTTTCACTCTCAGAATATAGGAGTTGGAAAATTGCATGGGAATGAACGACATCAATACATAATACTTTGTGTCTTCTGTTTTTTCTGACTCACTCTCTGAGTGTGGGGGTGTCTTGATCTGGTGTTCTCTTCCTTCCAATTGTTGACATTATGATATATTGGTGGATCTTTGCTTTCTATCTATTATTCATAAATTAATTCCTTTTCCCAAAATGCAGTAGTATTTTGTGCCCACCATAATGTTATTTACTCTGTGTATCTTTCCATAACACTCTGGATGATTTTCTTTTAAGTTTTATGCTCTATTTGAACATATAGTTTACTTTTAATTCTTGCTTGCTTTTGTTTTTGTTTTTTTTTCTGGATCCATCTTTCTGAAGTACAAGGAAACCCAGGAAAGCTTCCTGGAAGAACTAGATCAGAGCAAGTCTTTGAAAGACAGATCCATTTGCCTGGTTTAGGGCAGAGGAGGGCACAAAGGCCCAGCAGCAGGGGAGAATCTGGAGTAAGGTTGGGGGAGGGAGGCAAGGCTGCCAGGAGGAAAGGAGATGCACGTTCTGGGCAAAGAGAGCAGTGCATGTGAAACCACCTCGATGTAGTTAGTACACACTATTTCCTCTGCCCAGAATTAGGAATTGCATTAACTGATTCATCTAACAAAGATAAATGTCTACTGAGTACCTGCTGTGTGCCAGGTACTGTTCTAGGCCCTTGCGATATGGAAGTGAACATATCCATATCCATAGGGGATACGGAAGAAAAAACAGGATCTCTGCTTTCAAGGAAATCACACTCTTGTGAGCATAGAGGGCTGGGAAAGATGAGACGAATTAAAAAAAAGGAAAAAACATTTAGTCATATTTCATAAAATAGGGAAAAATAGGTTCAAAAAGGTTGCTGAATAGAGGGTTAAGACACTCACCCACACACAAAATCAATAACATTCCTAAAAAGCAATTAAAAACAATTACAAAATAAAATTTTTGAGAAAATATATTTACAATAGCAATGTATCTAGGAATAAACCTAACAAAATGTATGAAGGATATTTATAGAGAAAATTCTAAAGTTTTTGGAATGATATTAAATAAGATGAATAAATACAGAGATGTGTTATGTTGAAGGATGGGAAAACTTAATATTTTTAAAGAAGTCACTTCTTTCCAAATTTACATAAATTCAATGCAACTCAAAAAAAATCCCAACAGAGTTTTGGTTTTGGTCAAAGTTGACATGCTGATTCTAAAATTTACATATAAGAGCAAAGGGCCAAGAATATGGAAAACAAAGATGAAAATGACTTTTGGAAGGGATGTGGCCAACCAGATACCAAGAATTGTTATAAAAGTGTAATAATGAAGGAAGTAGTACTAGGGCCATGATAGATAAATACATCAATGAAAGAAAAAACAGCACAGAAGCAGATCCATGAATACAGAGGAATCAGATATATGACCACGGCAGCAGTGATGATAATATGAAGAAGATTTAATAAATGTTGCTAGTAAAAATGGTTATGCAGACAGAAAGAAAATGCTATCCCTACCTCACACCATGAACAAAAGTGAATTCCAAATATATTGAATAACTAAATGTAAAAATAAATACTTAAAATCCTTTAAAAGAAAAAACAGGTGAACAGTTTACAACCTTGAAAGAGAAAAAGATTTCTCAAATGAATTCCAGACATACAATATATAAAGTGACCTTCAACAACAGTACCAAGGACACAATGGAGAAAGGACAGTCTCTTCAATAAATTAGGGATCAACTGGATGTTCACATGCTGAAGAACGAAATTGGACCCTTCTAACACCTTATACAAAAATCAACTCAAAATGGATTAAAGACTTCAATGTAAGACCTGAAACTGTACAACTACTAGAAGAAAACAGGGGAAAAGCTTCTTGACATTGGGGTCTGGGCAATGAGTTTTTTGGATATGACCCCAAAAGCACAAGCAACAAAAGAAAAATAAAGTGGGACTGTATCAAACTAAAAACCTTCTGCAGAGCAAAGGAAGTAATCAACAGAGTGAAAAGGCAACCTAAAGAAGAGGAGAAAACACCTGGAAACCATATATCTGATAAGGAGTTAATATCCAAAATATAGAAGGAACTCAAACAACTCAATAGCAAAAAAACAAATAACTCAATTTAAAAAAGTAACAAATTGGGCCGGCCCGGTGGCTTAGCGGTTAAGTGTGTGCGCGCTCCGCTACTGGTGCCCCGGGTTCGGATCCCGGGCGCGCACCGACGCACCACTTCTCTGGCCATGCTGAGGCCGCATCCCACATACAGCAACTAGGAGGATGTGCAACTATGACATACAACTATCTACTGGGGCTTTGGGGAAGAAAAAAAGGAGGAGGATTGGCAATAGGAGCTATTGGTAATTGCTCAGAGCCGGTCTTGCTCAGCAAAAAGAGGAGGATTAGCACGGATGTTAGCTAAGGGCTGATCTCCCTCACACACACACAAAAAAAACTAGCAAAGGACTTGAATAGACATTTCTCAAAAGAAGACATGCCAACGGCCAATAGGTATATGAAAAGATGCTCAACATCACTAATCATCAGGAAAATGCAAACCACAATGACATACCACCTCACACCTGTTAGAATGGCTATTCTCAAACAGACACTAACAAGTATTGGCCAGGATATGGAGAAAACGGAACCCTGGTACACTGTTTATGGTAATGTAAATTGATATAGCCATTATGGAAAACAATATAGAGGTTCTTCAAAAAATCAGAATAGAACTACCATATGATCCAACAATATCACTTCTGTCTATCTATCCAAAGGAAATGAAGTAAGTATCTTGAAGAGATATCTGCCCTCCCATGTTCATTGCAGCATTACTCACAATAGCCAAAA